TTGATAGGTTAGGTGTGATCACATGAGCGTGGCTGTGTTTAGGGAGGGTAGACTAGTCGATTCGCTTACATGCTGCGATTATGATTTTAAGTCTTTATATTGATTATACTGTATGGTATCCCCACGGTGAGCAAGTGTTCGCTCACCCCCACTATTATATCTCTTTTCAGGTTCAGCTGGTGGCCGTGGCAATAAGACGAGCGAGGCAGGGTCATTATGTGCTATTGAATTGTTTTACCTGCTTCCGCTTTTATCTAATATCTATTCTCTTGTCAGCATGATTATTTGTTTTTGGAGATTTTACCATGTTTGGGATTTGAACTTGGAATTTTATTATGTTATGACTGTTGAATTATTTTATATGGCTGAATATCTGTTAGAGCATGATTGATTGTAGACATGAGACGAGTTCTGATCTAGATGGTTGTTTCCCCATTTAGTTAAGTGTGATCTTAACTGTGGTTATGTGAATTTTCGAGTAGCGCTCGTTATATAAATCTTTAAATTGATTTTTGAAAAATTAACTCTGATACTGACTTTGGAAAAATAAATTGGTATTTTTCACTTAAAAATAACGGGGCGTTACAGTATGGTATCAGAGCAAGTTTACGTTTCTGTAGACTGCTTCTGAAGTTGTTTATGTATTTATGTTATGACCCCTCGCTTCGTCCAGCCACGCCAGCTCAAGGTATGAGTGTTGTTTATTTTATTTAAATATTGATTTGGGGCTTAGGAATTTATCCACCTTTCATTTGATTAATTTGAACTTTAGTGGTTGAGTTTGTGCTATGTTCCAACTTGTCTTATAGATATGGGTCCTCGTAGAGATCCACATGCTCAGCAGACTCCACCCACTCAGGGTGAAGATCATGGCCGCACGATTGAACGGTTTCAGAACATGCGTCCCCCAACCTTTTCGGGAGTGGAGGGTCCAACAGCTTTAACGGAGTGGCTCCGTAAGCTAGAAAGGATCTTCACCGTTCTCCGATGCTCGGATGCCCAGCGCATTGAGTGTACCAAATACCAGATGGAGGGTGATGCCGCTGATTGGTGGACTGACTATTGGGTTTTGAGGCCAGAAGCTGAGCGGACTGCCCTCACTTGGGTAAGGATGAAGGAGATTGTCACGGACAAGTACTTTCCCAAGAGCTATCGTGACCAGAAGGAGCGAGAGTTCTATGATCTTAAGCAGGATGCCTCTACAGTCGATGAGTATTCTCGGGCCTTCACCCGTTTGAGTGCCTTTGCCAGGCATATGGTTGACACTGAGGAGAGAAAGGCTCGTAAGTTCCGAGATGGGCTTCGCCAGGATATCCGTGTTTTGGTGGCGAGTCATAGGGATCTCCCTTTCGCAGACACCGTCATCCGTGCTCAACAGATTGAGAGTTGCCTGACCCCGGTTGTCCCTGTCCCTTCCTACTACCATTCCCAGCCTCCTCAGACTGCTATCATCACTTAGCCAGCTATCTCTGCCCAGCCCTCCTCTGGCTCGCACAAGAGGAGGAATGACCATCACTCGGGCCATAAAAAGTCTAAGCGCCCAGATACCGGCAAGAAGTCAATGAGAGCTCAGCCAATTCAGCAGGTTCTGGGAGGACAGCCGAGATGTGGATCATGCGGAAGGTTCCATGCAGCAGGAGAGTGTTTCGCTGCCCAAAAGACATGCTATAACTGTCATCGTCTCGGACACTTTGCTCACAAGTGCCCTGAGCCAAAGAGAGAGAATCTCGGACCGCACCAGCAGCAACTTCAGTACCAGCAGCCACCGCAGCATCAGCAACAGAACCAGCAGCGACCCATGGCCCAGGCCCGAGTTTACGCTCTCACCAATGACGAGGCCGCCTACAACACAGGTACCATGTCTGGCATGCTTTCTATTTCCAACGTGCCTGTCTTTGCCCTATGTGATACTGGTGCCACGCATTCTTTCATTTCACCAAGTTGTTTGGAGGCCTTAGGAATTAGGGATGTCAGTAAGGTCGACGCTCTCGAGGTTAGCCTAGCCTCGGGAAAGACGATTGGTACTGATTCAATGGTTCGAGGTTTGCAAGTTAATATCGGCGGCAGGAACTTGGAGGTCAACACTTATATTATTGAGATGCGGGACTTCGATGTGATTCTCGGCATGGATTGACTCACTCATTACCGCGCCGACATCCGATGCTTGGAGAAGGAGGTCACGCTTCACCCAACCAATGGAGAGTCGATCGTGTTTTACGGCCCCAAGTCGAGGACTGTACCGAAAGTCATTTCCTCCCTGAAGGCCATGAAGGAAATATCGAAGGGTAGCTGCCAAGGCTACTTAGTGAGCATGATCGGAGAAGGGGAAGAGAAGAAGGCATCACCAGGGGATGTGTCAATCGTATGTGAGTACCCCGATGTTTTCCCCGACCAATTGCCAGGTGGACCACCTAACCGGCAAGTTGAATTCACCATCGACTTGCTACCTGGAGCCGGACCTGTCTCGAAGGCCCCTTACCGAATGGCACCGAAGGAGTTGCAAGAACTCAAGATGCAAATCCAGGAGCTGCTGAACCTTGGTTTTATTCGACCGAGTGTTTCACCCTGGGGAGCGCCCGTGATTTTCGTAAAGAAGAAGGATGGTTCGATGCGGATGTGCATCGATTATCGTGAGCTGAACAATTTGACGGTCAAGAACAAGTATCCCTTGCCGAGAATCGAGGATCTCTTTGACCAGTTGAGAGGAGCCAGTGTCTTCTCCAAGATCGATCTGCGGTCTGGTTATCATCAGCTGAAGATCAAGGAGTCCGATGTCTCGAAGACTTCCTTTCGGACTAGGTATGGCCATTACGAGTTCGTGGTAATGCCGTTCGGGTTGAGTAATGCCCCTGCGGTCTTCATGGACTTGATGAACCGTGTTTTCCACCCGTACCTGGACCGCTTAGTTATCGTCTTCATTGACGACATCTTGATATATTCCCGGGACATCGAGGAGCATAAAGAACATTTGAGGATAGTGCTAGAGACTCTTCGTCGGGAAAAGCTCTACGCGAAATTCTCGAAGTGTGAGTTTTGGCTGGATAGGGTGGCTTTCTTAGGCCACATTGTCACGGCCCATGGAATAGAGGTAGACCCAGGGAAGATTGAGGCCATCAGTAAATGGGAGACACCAAAGAATGCTAGTGACATTCGCAGTTTTCTGGGACTGGCAGGATATTATCGGCGTTTTATCGAGGGATTCTCGAAAGTGGCCCAGCCGTTGACGAACTTAACAATGAAGAATACCAAGTTTGTGTGGAGCCCTCAGTGTGAGTCAAGCTTTCTGGAGTTGAAGAAGAGACTCACATCCGCGCCTGTGTTGACCATACCGGATCCGACTTTGGAGTTCACTATTTATAGCGATGCTTCAAAGATGGGTCTGGGCTGTGTGTTGATGCAGCAAGGAAAGGTTGTAGCTTATGCATCGAGGCAGTTGAAGCCTCATGAGGTGAACTATCCGACCCATGACTTAGAGCTTGCAGCAGTGGTTCACGCCTTGAAGATTTGGCGACACTACCTTTACGGAGGCAAGTGCGAGACCTTTACCGACCACAAGAGCCTGAAGTACATCTTCACCCAGAAGGAGCTCAATATGCGGCAACGAAGATGGTTGGAGCTCGTGAAGGACTACGATTGCACAATTAACTACCATCCAGGAAAAGCTAATGTGGTCGCCGATGCGTTGAGTCGTAGGAACCACGGTGCGCTGAACTTCATGATTACCCGAGAGGAAGAGTTAGTCCGGGATTTCGAACGGCTGAGATTAGAGATAGTGGAGTCAGCTCCGAGACCTAGTGGTGTGCTGGCATCATTAGTTGTGGGGTCGACTCTCCGAGAGAGAATAATTGCAGAACAGCCGAAAGATCGATTCCTTTGCCGGATGAAAGAGTTGGCATTAGCTGAACAAATTGGAGGTTTCGCGGTTTCAACTGACGGTGCTTTACTCTTCGAAGGTCGACTTTGTGTACCGAAAGTTTGGGAACTGCGACGCGAGATTCTGAAGGAGGCTCATAGTGCCCCTTATTCTGTTCACCCTGGTAGTACGAAGATGTACCAGGACTTGAGGAAGACCTTTTGGGGGCGGGGTATGAAGCGCCAAGTGGCGAGGTTTGTGAATGGTTGTCTAGTGTGTCAGCAAGTGAAGGCTGAACACCAGAAACCGAGAGGCCTATTGGGTCCGCTTGAGATTCCCATGTGGAAATGTGAGTGCATTACCATGGATTTCGTGGTAGGTTTACCGAGGTCGAGGAAGGGACACGACTCTATCTGGGTGATTGTGGATCGACTTACGAAGTCTGCCCACTTCTTGCCCGTCCGAACGACGATGAAGGCCAGTGATTACGCCAAGTTGTTCGCAGATGAAATTGTTAAACTTCACGGGGTGCCCGTGGAGATTGTGTCTGACCGAGACGCTAGGTTCACTTGTCAGTTCTGGAGGACTCTGCACCGAGCCATGGGGACGAGGCTGGAGTTCAGTACAACTTTTCATCCTCAGACAGATGGTCAGTCAGAGCGGACGATCCAGTACTTGGAGGATATTTTTAGGGCTGTGGTCTTGGACCGTAGCCTAACCTGGGAGGATTCGTTGCCATTGGTTGAGTTGGCTTATAATAACAGTTATCATTCCTCAATCAAGATGGCACCATACGAGGCTTTGTACGGGCGAAAGGTGCGAACTCCCATTTATTGGGATGAAGTTGGAGAGAGGACGATTATGGGCCCAGAGTTCATTCGCACGACTTCGGCTCAGGTTGATGAGATCCGGAAGAGGATCAAGTCTGCCCAGGAGAGGCAGAAGGTTTATGCCAACCGGAAGAGGCAAGAGCACGAGTATGCGGTGGGTGATCATGTCTTCCTGAAGGTCTCACCCATGAAGGGTGTGATTCGCTTCGGGAAGAAGGGGAAGCTTCGGTCTCGCTATATCGGGCCTTTTGAGATCCTTGCTCGAGTCGGAGGCTTGGCGTATCGGCTAGCTTTGCCACCGGACTTGTCGGGAGTGCACGATGTATTTCATGTCTTTATGCTGCGTAGATATGTACATGATCCCGACCATGTGGTGGACTTCGGCGAGCTGCAGGTCGAGCGAGACCTCACCTATGAGGAGGTGCCGGTTGCCATACTGGACCGGAAGGTCCATCAGCTGAGGAACCGGGCAGTGAGTTTGGTGAAGGTGCTTTGGAGCCAACACGACGAGACTGAGGCGACTTGGGAGATCGAGGCCGAGCTTAGGAGGAGATATCCGAACATCGCTTTTTGATCCCTTTTGTACTCTTTTGTATTCTAGTTGGATTGATTTTTTTTCTTTCTTTCGAATTCCGAGGTCGGAATTCCTTTTAAGGTGGGTAAATTGTAGCGCCCCATTCGTTTATTAGAATTTTCTGAATATTATATTTTTATTTGTTTTTTTTTATTGATTATTTGCCTTTGCGTTATTTGTTTGCCAGTTATGATTGAAATATTAAATTGTTTTGGCGATTTTCGGTTTAATCGCGTAAATGGACTTTTAATCCA